CAAATCTCCAAATCAGATTCAGCTGAATTGATTCAGGACAGGGATTCGAATCACCAAATCATATCACTGTCCCCCGAATCGGCCAAATCCGAATCCAAAGCGAATATTAGCTGCTTCACCCAGGCCTACCACCAAATCCCAACATCTGAAGTTAGCAGCCTCCTGACAGAGGGTGTCATGGAAAAACAACCCCCCATAGCTGCTCTGCCCGCCCCAGCTCCTGCCCCTTTAAAGAAAAGCCCTGGTGCTCATGGGGTGCTGCTGGGCAAGGGGAGATCCCTGCTGCCTCCCACTGCCCCATGCTGTGTGGGGGCCTCTGGACAAGCTCCCCAGTGCCCCACCATTCCCCTAGCCACCCCCATGTCTGCCCTGCCTGGAGCAGCTCTGGCCGCTTAAGAAAAGAAATGTAGAAAAACCCCGGGACTCACCACTCCTGCAGGAGCCTTGGGGCTTCGGGGGGGGCTCATGCAGAGCTGGGGTGGGTGAGGCACCCATTGCCAGGCTGGGAGAGCGGGTGGGGGATGGGCATGGATGATTCGGAGATTCGGCCAAATCGATTCGGGACAGTGATTCAAATCACTGAATTGAATCACTGTCCCCCAAATCAGCCAAATCCAAAGCAAATACTATCCGCTTTGCACAGGCCTAATGACAATGTCTTCCTGCTCATTGGGCTGATTAAAAAAAATTGGTATTTCATGGAAGGTGTAATACAATGAGATTTAGAGCATTTTACTCCAACAATAGCATGGCTTCCTGGCTAGTGCCTGGTTTTGTTTCTTTTTCTCCCTCTCCCAGCTAGATTTTTTCCCTGACATTTTCATTGTTCTCACTCTTGGTATTAGTAGAATAATTTACCAGCTAACCTGCTCTGAGCTTGAAGATCTTTATGTGATTTGTGAAGTCTGATGGGGATCATTTCCCATGGCTCTGAAGTTGACTGAAATGTGTGTCTTAACCCTTGGAAGTATCTGATTAGCATTTCGAATTTGATCTTGATGAGAATTGTTTTGACAAACGTAATTTGTCAAAACACAATATTTTCCCTATAATTTGTCAAAGCACAATATTTTCCCTATCCAAACATAGTTGATGAGGCAGAAGAACTTTTTGAAAGATACTTAACTTGTTTCATGGTGTGGATCCTTGGTGAATAAACTGATGTAATCCACAGTTGGAAGTATCTGAGCTTCAGCCTGGTGAAGGTCCCTGTGTCTGGAGCTCATTAGTCTAAGGCACGCTTTCAATGTCTATTGGTGGGTTTGCAGAAGAGTGGAGGAGGCTGACTTGTTTAGCTTGGCAAAATGAAGGCTGAGGGGAGGTCTGATTGCTCTCTAAAATTATACTGGGGAGGTAGGCACAAAGGTGGTAAAAGATAAACAAGTTAAAGGACAAAGTTGGCACACAAAACCTCAAACCCCAAACACGTATAAACTAGTTGTGAGAGAGTGTAGGTAGGAAATTAGAAGAAAGTTCCTAACAATTAGAACTGTGAGGTTTTCCATTAACTTTCCAATAAGAATAGTGAAAATGAAAAACCTAACTACTTTTTAAGAAGGAACTGGATAAATGTGCTTAAAAGCAGGGGTAGATCCAGTGGGGGCTGTGGTGGTGCAGTTGCACCCCTCTTTGACTTTTGCTTAACCCAAACTTTAAAACCAATGGCTCAGGCAGGGAAGTGCTTATGGAGTCAATTGACTTCATGGCTCATTATTATATGCATGAACCCTGCTAATCTCTCTGCACTCCACAGGTCTTAACAGACTTCTCTGCTTTTTAATGGTCTTGATGTTCCACTAATTAAGCTATCCTTTTTTCTGCAAACTCAGGTGTAGAAATACTAAGGAGTAGAAATGGCTGACAATGAAGTACTGAAGGCACTGTCAAGAGGCTCAAGAAGACTAGATTTTTGTTTCATAAACATGAATGAGATGTACATTTAACTGCAGTGACTGCAGGACTAATGACAGAATATCACTTGACTATTTTGACTACTTTTTGCCTAGTTTGTTGTTGTTTTATTTTAACTTAATATATTATCTAGCAAATGAGTGCACATTCCAATAGTTATAACTCAGATCTTAAACTGGCCAATGTAGCGATAGGCCCCTGTGGTATTAGAAAAGTTTCCAGTTTCTTTTTAACTGGAGAAACATGTGTCATGTTTATGTCCTACATTTGCCCATGCTCCCTCCAGTTCTATGTTCCTATGGCTGCAGGAGGATATCAGAAAGCTAATATATTTTCTTTGGTATCAGTTGTAGAGCAATATCTAGTCCTTCAGCCAATCTTTTCCCACCTCTTGTAAAGCTTTAAAACTGTGCATGGTAGATTTATTGATCAGGAAAAGCTGAGAAATGCACTGAAGGATGATGCTTCTGCCTGATTCTCTTTGTTGTCTTGACTTAGAAGCGGAGCCGTAGCAAGGGGGGAGGGGGATGAGTGGCTCATTTTGGGGAGGGTGCGGGGATGGGGGAAGGACAGCTCCCAGCACTGCATACACTCCCAGGCAAGCATGGGGGGGGGCGTGTGCCCCCTGGATCTGTGTGCAGGGTGAGGGTGGGCTGCCACTGCAGGCATCAAACTTAGCTGCTATGGCACTGCTTAGAAGCTGCTGTTCTTTTGAGATGCCAAGATAACGCGGTAAAGAAAGCCCTTGATGAATTGTACTACTGATTTTACTGGTGACCTTGAAGAAGTTAAATGGTAGCTTGAATCTTTGCATTTCAGGAATAATGTGGCCACATCTGGAATCTGTAAGGATGTGGCATACTGGGCTAAGGAGATGGCACTAGGAAGCGAAAGGAGCCCTCTAAAGAGCTGATGGGAAGGTGCAACTTTTCTTCAGTTATAACTTTTCTTCACTACCCTTTGAGTGGTCCAATAAAAAAGTAAATGGACTCTGAAAATGGATTTCTGCTGAAGGATGGAGTTGAGGATGAAGATTAAGAAATGCCTGTTAAAAGAAGAGCAGTTCTAAAATGTGTCTGGACCTTTGAAATCCAAAAATGTAGAACTCGTGGTTCCAAAATTATACCTTTTATTAGACCAACTGAGAAACTGCAAAAAAACCCCTTTTTCTGCAAGGTTTTGGGCTCATGTGCCCTTCATCAGGCTCAGGGAAAGTTCAAGATGGTAAAAAGTCCCCATATGTAGGAAATAAACTTAATTTTTGCACAGTGGGAGCAGACACTGGAAAACTATCCCTCTGGGTCCATGAGAGTCTCATGAACTCAATTTTCCTTTGGACCTTTGATGCATTAAAGATGTACCTCTACTACTCTGAATTAAATTCTCAGGTCTAGAATTCTAGATTTCCTCACTAGAGATTATTTTGACATTTGGATATAGAAGATGTGCTCAGTAATGAATAACCTGATTCTAGGAGTTTCTCCTAGGAGCAGCAATTTAGTAAAAGCAATTTATATGGTCATTGACAACATAGGGTATTAGGATTTGACTAGTCCACCTCCTACTTCATATGGGCGGTTAGGCTGCACTCATTGTTGTAGTATCTGAGCACCTTACAGCTGTACAGTAAGTATCAAGACTAGCATCTGTCACATAATAATCTCTTGTCCCTTCCTATGGGAGAAAATCCTGTTGTGGAGTGTTTTGTTTAGGTAGGAGGTCTTTGGTTGTATATGTGTTTGGTTATAGATGTACATGTTGCTACGTGTTGGAGATTGCATGCTGAAGAGGGAATCTACCTTGAGTTTGGAGTGGGAGGTGGTGAGATCTAGTTCTTGAGAGAATTTAGTCAACCGTTTCAGGCCAGACTCTAAGATACTCCTGCCTTTATGCTAGGGGATACAAGTTGTTGGTCTTGATCTCCATCCCAGAGCTTTGAGTGGTTTGATAGCTATCCTGGTCCCAGACCAGGAAGGATAGGGATAAGGAGGAAAATTTACATAATTTGCATACATAATTAAGATACATTTTAGAGTGGATTTAGAAAGCAAATTGGAGAATAAATAATGGTTTAACTATATTTATATTAATTATTTCGCACTATTAGGGTTGCTATAGTTTTTAATGTTTTAATGCATTTTTATTCCAGTGCAGAAAAATGTCAGGCGACATGAATTTGTACACACACATTTTCTTTGGTTTAAAAACCAAATTAAACATAACTTCATTATTTTTATTTTTATAGCTTAAGATCCTAAGATGAATATTTGAACAACACATATTCTGCTTCTGTCTTGCATCAAAATGTCCCTGTGTGCACCTTCTCACAAGGAATTTTCTCAATTACTGCCAATCCAGGACATCGGATGTAGTAAAACAGAAATTAAGAGCTCACCCTCTGGCATCAGCTCTCCAGTCCCCTATAGCTGCAATCAGTCTGCTTTGACAGTTGAACACAGTCCAGTTTACCTTCCTTCATCTTATATGGAAAACAGACATGAATATTCTGCAATGGCCTTCTATAGTCCTTCTGTGATGAATTACAATATTCCTAGCAATTTCAGTGATTCAGAAAGTGCACCTGTAAGGCAAACAACGAGTCCAAGTATGCTGTGGTCTGCTTCTGGCCATATCTCGCCTTTGACATTACATTGCCAGTCATCACTTCTGTATGCAGAGCAACCCAAGAGCCCATGGTGTGAAGCAAGGCCAGTGGAACATATGCTGCCTACGAGCAGGTAAATGTTTTTATCTTTGTTAAATCTTTATTGCAAACTATTCTCTAGGCTATTTTTCTTTGCTGTTCATTTATTTGATCTATGAGAAAATAAACCTGAAACCAGTATTGCTTTTTACACATACTTTCCAAAGTTTCTTACTTTTTTCAGCTGGATTGGCTTAGAATAACATCCAAAGCTGCTGGTGTGTAGGATTCTTTACTTGATGTATGCCTTAAACTCAAGAATTAAATCATTCAAAAAGCCAGGGCTGTGTAGTCACACTTCGTGTATTTAAAGGAAGATTTTCAGGGCGTGAGAAACCTTAAGAAAAGTGCATCAAAGTTTCTGAAGGAGAGGTAGAGGCACCCTTCTGGTGGTGGTATTAATTCCGTTTTAGAGGCAGTATTTCTCCTGCTGAATTCTAAGCACGATGAAAGTATTCCACAAATCCTAACCATGGTGCAACAACTTGACCAATGTCCAAAGCAACCAGGTTTTTGAAATAGCTTGTTGACTCTCTCTCTATTATTATTCAGGACTGGGTATTAGGTAACAGGACTGACTAAGACTTCACAAAGTCAGATGAAAGTCTTTTGGAGACAGTAACCAGCCTCAATTAATGTTGTGATTGAGATTTCTGTAGTAGATTAGGCAACATTTTCAGCTATGAGAACATCAGTGTAACTGTAAAAATATCTATGGCCTGCACAAATACTTTCATCGCATGTGTAAATGAGTGTCTACACAAATGTCAGTTCATGCAGTTACAAACTAGGGGTGCGTGAATCCTATTCAATTAGGATTCAGATTCAGCCTGGATCAGGAACAGTGATTCGATTTATTGATTCAGCTCACTGTCCTTGATTCGATTCAGCTAAATCTGAAGATTCGATGCTGATTCAGAGAATGAGTGACTCAGACATAGACACAGCTTTAAATGTTTTTTTTCTACATACCTTGAGGTAGCAGCATGGCTTGTGAATGCTGTGATGCTGGGGTGCATGGAGTGTCCCACAGGAGTGTGGGGGGACCCTCCATGTGCTCGGCAGCGAACCCAGAAGTGGACAGGAAGTACTTCTGGTCCATGTCTGGGTCCGCTGGGGAGCACGCAGGCCCCCCACACCCCTGTGCCATGGGGGGACCCCGGGTGCTCCCCTCAGACCCAGGAGGCATCAGTTGCCAAGCTGGGGGTGCACTGGGGGGGCCTCCCAGCACACTGCCTGGCAAACCCAGAAGTGGATCGGAAGTACATCTGTTCTACTTCCAGGTCTACTGCCGAGTGCGCTGGGGAGCCCTCTGCACTCTTGTGGGATGCTCCATGCCCCCCAGCATCACAGCATTCACTAGCCACCTGCTACCTAGAGGTATGTAGAAAAAACGTGTAAAGCTGTGTCTATGTCTGAATCAGCGAATCTTTCCCAATCTCTCCAAATCAATTCAGAGGGTTCCGATTCGATTTGGAGAGATTCAAGGGTCCTCTGATTTGATTCTGATTCAGAGATTTGGCCACCGAATTGGGCCGAATCTCCACTGAATCAAATCGGGGGCCGAAGCTTCGCACAGCCCTATTACATGCACCAAAGCTATTTGACACACACAAATGTGATGCACCAGAAAAAGGTGTCCCAACAATTGTGTTTGGTTGCAGGTCTTTGCGTGCTGTTTACAAGCATCATTCCTTGTAGCCACAGTATCACGTCATGGATCAAGACTGAGTCGTGGTGTTTTAATTTCAGGAGCATAAGACCAGTTCTACCATTAGCTACATTCTTTTTTTGATCTCTGGTTTTGCATGTGACCACCATGAACAGCCCGCAAAGGGGCCAAGAGTAGATTTGCTAGGAGCTGACGTTCTATGGGGAAAGCATGTTAATATAGGTCAACACTAAGTTTAAGGTGGATGCTGCAGACTTTTGGCTTGTAAATAACCCATCAGCAGCATACTAGTCTAAGGAAGGAGGCTAGTTTGGTCCTCAAGTTAGCCCAGAATGAAGACGTCCCTGTCTTCCATGGACGGTGGCTTCTGTGCTCCCAGGAGGTACTTGACAGAATCTCTGTGCATCTTTTTATTCATTGTTGTGTGACTGGTGGTATTGTCTTATGCCCTAAAAGTAATAGTTTCAGGAAATTGCATGTATACTATTTTCTAATATTTCATTATTTTCCACACTACTGCGTCATAAAGAGACAGAAGTTGGAAGATATGGATAATGTTGCTGGGTTGTTTTTTTTTTGGTAGGTGACCACCATAATATTTAAGAGTGAGATAGTTGAATAGTTTGAAAATGTTATGCTATAGCCCACTTCAGTCCTATCCACATATGACAGCACAGCTGTAAGAATGGGAATTGATTATAACTTCAGACCACAGGGATGTGAGAATAATAATTTCCCTTACTGTAGTTATTTAGATTTCAGTCAAAACACTGTCTTTCACAGCCATGCCTCTCCTTCTGCTTCATCCTGTGGTGAAGCCTTAATACAGTGTTCATGACATTAATTTATTTCCATGGAAACAAAGATTATGATATTGAAAATTCATTAGTTTTCTAAATTGAATGGCAGATGAAGCAGAGGGACAGTTCCTTGGGCAGAGATTCCAAGGAAAATTTTAAAAATAAATGAAAATACTTGGGTTGAAAATGTGTCTCAGATAAGAAAATGAAATGATAGCCTTATGAATAATATGTTCTGTTCACATTTTCAAGTCTTGAAGAGAAAGAAATAATCTGAATTAAAGAGTTTATTTTTCCAGGTGGTGATATCTCTTAACATTGGCCAAATTAGTGCATTTTAGTTTGTAGCTTATGTACAGAGACCTACAAGTCCTTGTGTTTGGTAAGTAGGCTCCTCACATAACAGAAGGCATTTTTGTAAAGCTTTAGTAAGAAGTTGTTGTAGTATTCTACTATCTTGCAGTAGTCTTTAGCAAACATAAAATGTGTAGCACATAAATAGAAAGCTAAACTTGACTATTCAAACCACCTTTTTGTACAAAATAATACAGGCACAGTGAAGACAAAGGTTCCTTATAGTTCTTGGTCCTACTCAAGTCATGGCAACACATCCATTGTCTTCACAGGGCAGGACCAGATTCTGAATTCTTTTTCAATAAGATTTTAAAAGGCAGGCCAAGTTATGCAAAAGGAATCTAACGTTTATGTCTCCCCCTTCCTCCTAATTCAAGTCTTGGTTAAAATATAGGGTTACAATGCTCTGAACAGAAAATTTGTGGTACAAGGTGAGGAGTAGCATAAGAAGCGGTGGGCAACTGGGACGCCAGGTACCAACTTAAAGGAGAGGTAAGAACAGCAATGGCTACAGGGCTGTCCCTGATTCGATTCGAAGGAGATTCAGCCCAATTCGGTGGCTGAATCGCCGAATCTGAATCGAATCAAGAGACCGTTTAATCTTTCTAAACTGAATCGGAACCCTCCGAATTGATTCGGATATAGACACAACTTTAAATGTTTTTTCTACATACCTCTAGGTACCAGGCAGGTTGTGAACACTATGATGCTGGGGTGGATGGAGCATCCCACAGGAGTGTGGGGAGGCCCTCCGCGTGCTGGGCAGGGAACCCAGAAGTGGACTGGAAGTAATTCTGGTCCACTTTGGGGTCCGCCAGGGAGTGTGCTGGGGGGCCTCCCCCCCCGCCCCTTCGCTCAGCAATAGACCCAGGAGGCACCAGTTGCTGATGTCATGTAAAAGCTGGAACAGAATTGACTCTTCTGAAGTCAACAAGCCCATCCGGGGGTTTGGCTGTTGAGTGCTAACAAGTCTCTTCCGAGCCTGTATGAACTCTGATTTTTTTTCCCCTCCCCAAGGCCATGTTTGTCAAATCTGCTTAGGTTTTCCTGGGAAAAGTTAAACCACCCACTGACACAATGGCTAGTTCCTGCCAAATGTCAAGCCCTTGCCCCCCAAAATGGGGGTACTGGATCATTTCAAAGGAAGTTTGTCAAAAATGTTTTGACATGGGCTAAATTTGCATATGTTTCCTTAGCCATGTTCTCAGCAGCAGGTGAACGGTTTTGTTTGAAATTTCCACCAGAAAGTCACCTGCTGAGGCAGATCCCCAGCATATAATATTTCAGCCCATGTGGCTAACGTGTCAAAGTTTTATAAACAACTTAAACAGGATCTTATTAAGGGAAATGTCACAGCAGTGGGAAATACGGCACTGCCTATTAAGCCAGTGAGTCCCTGCTCTAATGTGAGGTGCCGCATACATTGCACAGTTTCTCCTGCCTGGAATAGACAAAGGATAGGAATTTAACCATTTTTCTTTTTCTCTTTGTGGAACTTTAATGTTTCTTGTATAAAAATGGTTGAAATAAATGGGATAGTATAGGGATTTTTAGTCTCATTAGGCTATTAGTGTCTAGAGAGCTCTGACCCTTTCCCTACTTTTGATGACGTATCTAAAAAACAGAAATCAGGCAATCGGCTTCATACCTGGTTCTGTGGCATTAGAGCTCTTAGAGGGAAACATACTTGGTTCCTGTTCTGTCTCCAGGAGGGGGATATGTTCCTGACTTTTTTACACTATGTAAGTTTGTCACCAAACACACCAAAAAGTCTGCAGTATTCACACAAATTATATGTCTGTGAGGGTGTCTATGAATAAAACTTTTTAAAAGGAAGAAAAAAGCATTCAAATTAAATTGTGACCGCTTGCTGTCACAAGCAGCTGTTAGAAGATAACATTAGGGTTTGCATTTCTCCTTCATTTCCAGTTCTGACTTTTTTAAAGTGTGACACTATTGGGAGCAGAAGTCTTATACAAGTCTACAGAGCAACAGAGTGAGATTAAAGAGGCTGCCCAGTTCATCTTGATCTTTATGAAGTTCTGCTTTTCTGAATGTCATGATTAGGCCAGCACGCATGGATTCTCATTCACCACATAATGATATAGTGTGGGGGCCAGGCGGCTGGAGCCGTGCTGTGCGGGGAGGGGTGCCAGGAAGGCCCCAAGTGTCCCGATGGCAGCTGCTGCTGCAGGGGAGAGGGCTGTGGGCCATGCAAGGGGAAGGCGGGGGACCCACCCTTCCCGAGCAGGCCCCCCCCAACAATCCTCCCAGTCCTTTGCCCCCACGCAGCCCCGACTCCAGTCTCCCCCACCCCCAGTCCATACTTACCTGGGGATGGAGCCCAGGTCCAGGTCACTGCAGCCTGCACCGCTCCTTGCCCTGCATGTGCTGCAGTGTGCTGCAGCAGTAGAGCAAGGGGCAGCCATAGAGACTCTCCGTTCAGCTACTGGTTGCCTGCCCCACTTTTTTTCTTCAGGGTTTTTTTTTTTGATACCTGGATATCCAGGTATCAAATTTTGAGTCTGCGCATCAAATATGTAGTACGGGGAATGTTTTTGTGTTCCTGGAGCCTCTTAGTGCACCTCAAACTGCTTTGAGATGCAGCAAGAGGCACGTGCATGCTTGTGTTGATGCACCCGTACGGGTTTTTCTGGTTAGCTGCAAAATGCCACTTCTACCTCTTATGAAAGACCTGCTTGGATAAACCAACAAAAAAAGCTGTGTGAACACAGAATGGATTCAAAATGTATTTAATTTATCCAGAGACTATTCCAGTTAGAATTGTCCCTTGGCAGTAATCAGCAATAGCAGGCTAAAGCAGAGTGCTGAAGATACTTAGAGGATCTGGTCAAAGACCAGACTCCTCTATTTTCTATTCTAGTTAGTGTTTTTACTATGTGAGTCACAGTGGTACCGGAGACGTCAGCATTTCCCTAGACAAAAAATTCCTAAACACAAAGTTCAAACTTTGCAGCTCAGTTTCTATTCTCTAGCTCATAAGAATTTCGGTTTCCCAGAGTTCACATGACTCACCTCAGTAGTACGATTCTAGTCACACACACAAGTACACACAGTCCAAAATTTGCCAGGCAACTTGTATTGATGATACTAGAGTGACAATATGTATTTTAACTAAATTCTGGCAAACTCTTAGCATACTCTCTCAGATTGAAACATGCCCAGTAATAATGAGGAGAAGATGAAGTGAGTATAAAGAGAGACTATAATATGTTCTGAGTTATTTTTGCTCCTTTTCATAACTGTTTCTCTCTTCCTTCAGAGAAGTGTTAAAGAGAAAAGCAAGTGGCAATGATTGCACAAGTCCCGTTGCAAATGGTTCTGGCTCAAAAAGAGATGCACACTTCTGTGCAGTCTGCAGTGATTATGCTTCAGGATATCACTATGGGGTTTGGTCATGTGAAGGATGTAAAGCATTCTTTAAAAGAAGTATCCAAGGTAGGAAAAACTCTTTTTGAAGACTTTACCTAGATAGCTTTTTTTTTTGCTCCATAGGACCATTTACGTAAGTAGTATTTAAAATGGCCACTTGAGTTGTTCTGCTGACTTCGCATACAGCAATGCATTTATGTATAATAGAATAACAAGAGTTGAGTACCCTGCCCTTGGTCCTTTATGTTGCTGTGTGGAAGGGCTGGCAGAGTTGAGTACCCTGCCCTTGGTCCTTTATGTTGCTGTGTGGAAGGGCTGGCAGTGTCTTTAGGGGACGGTGCCAAATATATAGAATCTAGGAGTAGATGCAATAAAGGAATGGCATGACAGGTTCCTTGGATTTTATGCAGTTCTGGATTGAAAAGTAGATGCATTAGTTGAGCATAATTCAGGAAAGAGAGAGGTTTGGGGGAGGATATGAAATAAAATTTAAAGCATAATCAGGATTTCAGCCATATTTAGGTAAAATCCTGAAGCTTTTTTTGTGGAGTCACATTGCAGCTGTTCCTCACCAGAATAAAGATATACCTTCTAACCCAGTATTAGAGAGGCCGCTGCAGAAATGGGAATAATTTTTGTGGAGTCACATTGCAGCTGTTCCTCACCAGAATAAAGATATACCTTCTAACCCAGTATTAGAGAGGCCACTGCAGAAATGGGAATAATTTTCAAATACTGAAATTCACTGGGTGAATCTAATACAGTATTTCCATGGCTTCTGACTTAGCCTCTTGACTGGAATGGTTAGTGCTGCCTATGCTCTTTGGAGGCCTTGGGCCCTGAATCCCTTAATCTCAACTTCAGTAATGTCTCCCTTAGTGGAGCCAGGCCATATCTTCACTGCAAATGGGTGAAGTATGTAGAGGCCTCAAACAATGTCTAAGTATCTCTGTTTTTCTTATTTGCTGTGGGATTTAGTGATACAAATCTACTTGCACATACCTTATGCAACAGGTTAAACATTGCCATTTGAGTAAACCTTTGTAGAAAAGTGGTTGCCAAATTAGTCCAGAGAGGGAAATAGCTAACATTAAAGTAACAGTAATTAATATGAGAACCTTATGTGCCCACAGCATAAATTTGGTTTTGATGTGTTTTGTGCAGACTTATTTATCTGATACTTGTTTTGCTTGCCTGTGCTTTATATTTGAACCAGATACCTGTTTTAGTCCATTGTATCCTTTGATGCACCTAATTGACTTACTTGGGGGTCCTAAAAATAAAAGTAAATGATTTTCTCTGCACAAAACATATTGTACACTCTGTTGCATCCAGGCATGTTCAAGGTATTGCTGTTAAAACATCAGAAATTATTTACTAAAACCAGTTATGTTTAACCAGTTTTAAAGAGAGCACTTGTTTTTTATTTATACTATGGTTGTATGTTTGTCATGTTGTTTTCAGGAGCAAGGCTTTTAGCTAGAATCCTTAATAATAAATTGAATTGAAATAATAAATTGAATTAATACTTGAAAACTACCATAACTTTGCAAAAGCCAGTACAAATTAATTCCATCAGTGGTTTGTCGTCTTAGTGTACTTAAATGCCTGTAGCTGCTGCAAAAAGTACTTGGGGATTACAGTTATTTTCTGTATCTGAGATACAGTTGCAGATTGACTATTGTAATTTAAATTTAAGGGAGAAGCAATTTACTTTAAATTTAAATGGAAGGTTATGAAAAAATACATAGGCAAGGTACTGGCCATGGGTAAGATAACCGTTATTTTAATAGACACAAATTAAGAAAGAATATGCCTTTCTTTAACCTGGATCAGTGCTGCTTACTCACAGGAAAGACTGTACCGGAGTTCAAGAGATCTGAGCATAGTTAAGTTCTCTGTGAATGAAAATTTCCTCCATATCCCAAAGGCAAGAATTTTGTAGGGTGATATCTTTCATTGGACCAACGGTATAGCTGGCATACGGTTAGACAAGCTCTCAAATGCAAGACATTCTTCGTCAGAAATCCTTACATCTCACATAATTTCTGGACTGTCATGGCTACAACATCACTCTTACACTCCGTATCCAGAATGGTGGTGCTGTAGAGATGGCCAATCCTAACTGTTCTCAAGGCTTAGGGAGAGGTGTTGGTAATGGCAAAGTACCTGTGTGTAGAAAAGAGGAGGGCTAATATTGTGGATGCACTCAATTCAACATTGCAATTTCTGCCAAGAAGTCTCTCAAAAAGTTCACTCAGTCTGAAGCTGCCCTCGCTTCTCTTAAAGGGGATTCTAGGGAAGGCATTGAACGCTAAGTTCCTGACGACATGGCTCAGTTGAAACCAAAGTTGGCAGATAGAGGACCCTGAGTAGTATGAAAGCCCATGACCTCCAGCACTTAAAAGTTTTGGAGGCAGAACTTTTACTTTGAACCATGGTGGCTGGAAGGAAATATACCCCACTTGTCTGTGACTGCTGGGTCTCATAGAAAATTCTCCAACTCAGTCCTCCTTTTCTCTGATTCCTCAGTGAAGACTCATTTGACCCTAAATATGTGTCAAAACTTAGGGTGCTTATACATGTGCTCTGGGAGTGTGTGGGGGGCTAATTAGAGCAGCTCTGAGAGCTACTCTAACTTAAATGCCTGGAGTTTCATGTGTATCAGCATGCCTGTGCTGAAAAATGGCAGCGGGGGTGCTTTAACTAAAGCTCATCAAATGAACTTTAGTTAAAGCACCCCTGCTGCCATTTTTCAGCAAGGGGCTTTGATACATGTGACACTGGACCGTGGTAATTGCCAGGCTCCAGCAGACTCGATTAATTGAGTCTGCTTTGATGCACTGTAATTACCGTGTGTCGGAGCAGGCTCACTGCACGTGTATATCTTGTTACACTGTACTGTTCAGACGGGAACTTTAATGCATCTTCTCTGAGCAGACGTGTTACAAGCCCAGAAACGCCAACAGCATTCTACAACATGGTAAAGGTGGGGGAGATCAGGCACATACCCTATGCAACATGTTAAACATCACTCTTTAAGGAAACCTTTGTAGAAAAGTAGTTGTCAAATCAGTCCAGAGAGGGAAATAGCTAAAATTAAAGTTACAACAATTAATGTGAGAACTTTATGTGCCTACAGAGAAAATTTGGTCTTGCTGTTTTCTGTGCAGAATTGTTTATCTGGTACGTGCAGTGCTCACTTATGCTTTACATTTGAACAAGATACCTGTTTTATCCGTTGCACCCTTTGATGCACCTACTGCAGTGACAAGGAAGCAGGTGATGAATATGTGGGGAGATGGACCTGTAGCTAATAGCACTGGAGTGCTTCTGCGCACTTGGTGCCCTTGTGTAGAGGAGCGTGGGCTGCTGTAACTCGAATGGCTCCTCAGGGTTATCTGAATTATCCCAAGGCTTCTGAGTAGCTTAAAACCAGGGGGCTTAAAATCCTTTTCTGCATGACAGAAAAGTTCTGCATCACTCCTTGGTCTTGGGGGGAGTGATAAGGCAGTAACTTGTTTGTCAGTCCCATCTGCCAGCAGGAAATGGGACAAACTGTAATCATATCTTTTTCTGAGCACTGTAGGTTCAAAACTTCAAGGTTAAAAAATATTTTAATTTTACAAGGAAAAGGTCACAATGGCTCTGAGAAAAGAACCCCTGAAATACTCGCTCACAAACCCAGAAAACACAAATTCTCTTGTTACATCTATACATAAAATAGATATTGTGGAGGAATAACGTGTAGAAAAACAAAATGAACAGCAACAACAGTCCCCTGCAAACGAACAAAAATAACCTTTGAAATGCCCTGAGAGGAAATAGAGAGAGAGCTACAAATGAATGCGACTGTTTTGTACTTCAGCTAATTTCTGAGAAGGAGACTTAACAGCAATTATCTTGATTTGCATTTAAACAATATAGGGTGCTTGCAAATGTAAAAAAAAAAAAAAAAAAGGGAACCTCCCCCCGCCCCAATGGTGCTTTACTTTAAACTCAGCATGTTCCTGTGCTGAGCCCTGCGCGTGCCCAGAAGAGGCAGCGTGTTACTTCAGCCTGGCTCACCCAGTGTCTGTAAAGATCAGGTGCTTTTGTGGGGCTTTTTTTTGGTGCTTCATCAGCTATTAGCTAAAAGTGCCAAAAGACCCTGCTGAAGTGCCTGATCTTTACAGACGCTGTAGAGCCAGGTTGAAATAATGTGCTGCTGCTTCTGGTAAAGCACGGGTTGGTTTGGTTTGGTCTGGTTTTTTTAACATCTGCAAGCAGCCACGGTGACTTACTTAAATAAAACCTCTTGGAGCAGATTCTTTGCTAGTGAGGCTCTCCTGCCTTCATTGGTGATGTGCCAGCAAAAGAATGGGTCTATTGACTTCAGTGGTGTTAGGCTCAAGTGAGAGGAGCCTTTTGGTCAAATGTAATGTGATACTTTTTGGAACGCACTGATATTGAAAATCTGCCTTATTTCTAGAATCAAAATCTCGATTACATGCACATGTTTGTAACTCAGGTACAACTTACATGAGTAAATTTTTCAGAAGCCAGCTGGGAACTTCAGGGCTTCCACCCTTCGGAAAAGCTTTTCCATCTAGAGCTGTGTTTATACATGGTAGATGCTTATATGAAAGGCGCTTGATGGAAGGCACTTTTCCAAAGCATGGACCTTCTTGATTTAAATTACTATATATTTTGGGTTTTTTGAAGATTAAAAAAAATGTGACGTACTGGTATCTCTTTTCGGTACATCTTAGTGATACATGCACGTTTTTAAAACCCTAAGCTCTGAAACAAGTGTTTTTCCAAGTCATATAACAGGAGATTATTGTTAGAGCTTTAAGCCTTTCTTCTTTATACCCTGTTGCAGGACACAATGATTACATCTGTCCAGCTACCAATCAATGCACAATAGATAAGAACAGGCGCAAAAGCTGTCAGGCGTGTCGCCTGAGGAAATGCTATGAAGTGGGAATGATGAAATGTGGTAAGTTTTGTTTTTTATTTGTTTTGAATCCCCTTGCCTTTTTTTTTGTTCACCTTCTAAGGTACATTTAAGTCCTGACCAGGCATGAGAGGTAATTAAAGTAAGGTGTCATTGCTTATCACTTTGAGAAGGAAACGTACTCAGTAAGGCCCAACCCTGCAATATGTAGCATGCAGCAAGGCTGCTGCAACCCTGTAGAGTCCTGCTGAAGGTAGTCCTGCCTGCACATCACCGACTGCAGGACTGAGATGCACATGTTCCTGCTGTCCTTAGGATCTGACTCTGCAGGCACTCGAGTGGCCATGAGCTAACTTTAGACTAGTTTGCTTCAGTATTGGTAGCTGTGGCAACCCAGAGCTCTATCAGGGCTAATTTACTCTGCTTCTTAACAGAATGCCTTGTGACTGTAGACATATCCTAAGACATGGTATTTAAAAGGTAAAAAATCAAACTGAATGGTAAAAGTTGAATTTAATGGTGTTAGGCTTAAGTGAAACGAGCCTTTTCGTCAAATGTGATGTGTTACTTTTGGAACAGCAGCAATATGCTGATATTGAAAATCTGCCTTATTTCTTTTTACAGTGCTGATTACTCACTATTTACATTTTCTCTATTCAGGCAACAAACATAGGATAGGAGAGCACATGTAGTAACGCAGAACTAAAAGGCATCTCCTGGGTCACTGAATCCAGTGCTTTGCTAGAGTAGGAAGCCATGCCATATCATTGCATTAATAAACTTCTCAAGGTTGATTTCAAAACTAGCCAGTTCTTTTTCTAGTCAGCCCTTCTCCTGCTGGAAGACTGATTTAGAGCCTCTCTACCCTGTTTAGAAACCTTCATCTTATTTTCAACCTAAATTTATTCATGGCCAATTTGAATCTATTTGTTCTTGTGCCAGCACTGTCCTTTAGCTGAAATTGTTCTTTTCCCTCCCCGCTGTATTTATAGGCAACAATCAGATCCCCTCTCAGCCTTTGTGTTGCTAAGCTGAATAAGCCAAGGTTTCTCAGTTTTCTCTCTCCCCCGATCATCCTAGTAGCCTTTTCTCAGACCTGTTCCAGTTTCACATCTTTCATGTTTACAGGTGACCAGAATTGCATAACTCCCAGATGAGGTGCCTTGTACAATGTCATTAATACCACCTTATCTGTGCTGGAAATATTGCACTCGATGTATCCTAGGATCACATTCACCCTTTTTGTGTAGCCATTTCATGTTGGTCATCCTGTGATTAGCTAATACACCCAGGCCTTACTCCTCCTGTGTCATTTCCAGGAGATGCTCCCTCAACTTCTAGCAGAAATTCACATTAGCCCTTGTGCTTTTTGCTATTAAATTTCCTCCTGTTTTCTTACTCCAGCCTCTTCCTGTATGATGAGCTGATCCTTCTCTTTATTGACAATGCATTCCAACTCATTACCAGGACACTTCCCATAGCACACTTCCACTTTACTTCCCTCTTGCTCTCATGAAGTCAGGGCCAAAACCTGTAAATGGAAATATAGCTACTTCTGAAAATTGCTATAGCCTGTCCATAAAGCCAAGTGCGACTGAAACCTAACTGTGTTGTAAAGTCACAAATTCACAGAAGTGTAGGGGCTGGGAGGGACCTCATGAGATCATTGGGTCCCCCTGCTTTGGGCAGGAAAGACTGCTAGGGTCAAATAACCCCTGCAAGATGTGCGTCCAGTCTCCTTTTGAAGATCTCCAGGGTAGGTGCCTGCACCACCCCCCAGTGGGAGTCTATTCCAGAGTCTGGTGACATGAACCATGAAGAAGTTTTTCCTTATATCCAGCCTGAGACCTTCTTCTAGGAATTTGTGATCGTTGCTCCTGGTTTTCCCCTGGGGTGCTTTGGTGAATAGTTGTTCATTCTGATGCTCTCGCCTGATATATTTCATAGAATCACAGAAGTCGGGTCGGACGGGACCTTGTAGATCTTCAAGTCCGACCCCCTGCCTGGGCAGGAGAAAAACTGGGCTCAAATGACTCCAGCCAGGTAGGCATCCAGCCTCCTCTTAAAGACCCCCAGGGTAGGAGCCAGCACCATTTCCCTTGGATGTTGGTTCCAGCTCGTAGCTGCCCCGACTGTGAAGTAGTTCTTACGGATGTCTAATCTAAACCTCCTCTCCAACAGCTTGTGGTCGTTATTCCTTGTTAGGCCAGGGGGCGCTCAGGGAAACAAGGTCTCTCCCAAACCCTTATGGTCCCCCTTATGAGTTTATAGACGGTCACCAGGTCCCCCCTCAGCCTTCACTTGTGAAGGCTGAACAGGTTCAGGTCCCGCAGTCTCTCATTGTAGGGTCTCCCCTGCTGTCCCCTGACCACGCGAGTGGCCCTCCTCTGGACCCTTTCCATGTTGTCCACATCCCTCCTAAAGTGCGGCGCCCAGAACTGGACGCAGTACTCCAACTGCCAACAAATCCCCCCAAAGTCTTCTCTTTTCTAGGCTGAACAGTCCCATATCTGTCAGCCTTTCCTTGTATGGGTGCTCTTCAGGCCTCTAACCATAGTCTCAGGGAAGCAGCTTTTAAAAGCAAGCAAAACCTATTTTCACAGCAGTTGGAAATGAAAACCATGAAAATGTATCTGGAAGCCTTTTGGAGAAAGGATCTTTTTTGTTCTGTGGCAGTAAGATAAGGAGCTCAAGTCATTAATGAGGATGTGGCCATTATGGAGATAGCAATAGGTAACAATAACATAGCAATCCAAATTTTGGTTTGTAGTGCCAGTTGAACATCTTTATGCCTTTATAAATGCAGAATTGTAGCTTATTTGGAGGGGGGGATGGGGGATGTAAAGATCTAGTTTTCAGCATCTCAGACTAAAACTGACCCTTAAATGTGGTGGTTATCTAAAAATTAACACGAGTGTCTCATTTCTAAGAAAGCTGAATTGAAACTGAGAGGAAGGTTTTATGAATTCTATTTGAGCATTCTGCCTAGTTCAATTTCCCTTGCCAGTAAAAGGAGAATAAAAATTACATATCTGGTAATCAAACCCACTTGTCTCAAAGCATCTAATCAATTCAGTTTCAAGATATCTCTGAGGAAAAGGTGATGTCCATCAACATTATGCCTTCGGTTGCAGTGAGCAGCTGAAGTGTAGCCTCGTAGTATAGATTTTATGAGCTGTCATGCCAGTCTCCATCAGGCTACATTTCCATTGACTTCTGTGTGTCCATTTATTTAAAACATATTTGCATTATTAAGTCTCCCTATTTCTCTCTTGAGACATAAAATGCTATTTTTTCATGAAACAAAACACTGCATTTCCGACTCATTTTTGTGTCCTTGTTAGCTGTTTGCTTTAAACATCTTGTGTTCTTATACTGCTCCTAACTGGGAGGACATATTAAGGGAGGGATCACTCTACACATGCCCTCTTTCTACAAGACCCTGAATTACATGAACTTGTGGGCATACCCTCCTTTTCAGGAGGGAGAGTTCTCTCCTAAACTGAAATATTTATTTTTTCCCAGTTCACTGGCTAATGAGTAGTTTGGTCCAGGATGGGATGTCTGATAGGGAAGGAGGGACTTTAGGTCATCAGAGGTTGTTTACTTCGGTAGAGGGATTTTGTTACTCAGCCTCAGCTTCACCATTTGTTTTGTGTACCTCCTGCCACTGCATGGAAAGTGTCCATTAATGAAACCCCAAATTTGCCAAAGCTAGTATTAATGTAACTTCAGATTGAACAGCTACCAAATTCTCCTTTCGGGCTGAATCTATACAAGCTCTACATATTTTAAAATATGATTGTATTTTATGTCCACCCTTTTATAAAGAGTGGAAGGCATCATTACAAAAGTAATGTCTAAGAAGTCATGTCCACAAGCCCCCTAACCATTTCTGTTTCCCTTTGCTGGACTCTCTCCAATTTGTCTACATCCTTTTTGTA